CCCGATTAAATCACATATTGATCATTTCAGGGCGTGGGGAGAAGAGGGTAAATGTGTATATACTTTTAAAGCAGTGCAGAAAATACATGGACACACACAAGTATATGTGTCCGCGTATGCATATGCCTGTGTGCGTATATATATATATAGTTACACTTACGTACACACACAGAGAAAATTCGGGGGTGCGCCACCAAAGTTTTTCCCTCCTCGTTTTGAAAAACAGCGCATCTCTCGCAACTCGACTGCACATTTATAGCAGAGGCTAGATCTTTTTTAAAACCGTACGACGCACTGGCTCTCCCCGGTCTTTGTTGTTTTGGTTTGGGGTTTTTTTTGGTTGTGTTTTTTCTTTTTTGTTTTTCTTTTTTTTTCTCTCTCTTTTTTTTTTTTTTTTTTTTTTTTTTTTTTTTTTTTTGTAAGATGCATTTTGCGCTTTGCTTTCCGCTTGGCTTGGTGCACGCAAACTGAATTTGCAAGTGATGTAGGAGCCAGGCGAAAAGGAGAAGGCGAATTCTGGTCACGTCCTTGCTAACTGACAACAAGCAGGCTAGCCAAAAAAAAAAAAAAAAAAAAGGGGGGTGGGGGGGGAGGAGGGGGAAGAGTCCAATTTCTTTTTGAGTCTTGGTAATTGGGTACTTTTACAGGCAGATCACGCTATTTGGGTAGAATAACAAGCTTAGAAAGCCCAGTGTCTCTAAGCTACCACCCATTTCTACTACTTTATTTATTTATTTTATTTTATCTCCCTTCGCCTCTCGCTTCCCGTCTTCCCCCCGACGGTTTTATTTATCCAGCCGCTACCTTTGCAGAGGCAACACAGCAGCCCGTGTTTTCGGTGGCGGAGTTTGCGCCTTCCCCCGCGTTTTCCTGCCCCGTCGGGTCAGAGCCGCGGAGGAACAGGGTCACCCCGCCGAAACGCGGGATGGAGCGCCCTCTTTTTTTAGGATTTGGGCTTTGGGGGGAATTCTTTAACGTGCAGTGATTTCAGGAAGGACAATGCAATCATTAATCACCCCCTCCGCCTTTGGATTTGGATACACATTTGCAACACAGAAGGGCAAGAAAACAATGGTGATACCGCTAGATCTTTGCATATTTATATAGAGATAGATAAAGATATATATGTTACATCCATCAGATACAAACACTTCATATGCAACTTAGCTCCGGCATAACATCATTTAACATTTCGTCCTTACATTCATTGTTGTCAATGGCAGAAGGGAAAAAAAATTGCATGCAGTAGGCAGCCGATCATTTTAATTAAAAAAAGTTTTATTACGAAACTAGTTTGTATAAAACAGAGTTATACAGGACCTTTGTAAGTTTGTAATAAAACAGTAAGAAAAGGCAGTGGCATTAGGGGTTTTTGTTTGTTTGCTTGTGTATTTTTTTTCTTTTCAAAGGCAGCATATATAAACAAATGGCTACCATTTTGCGTTTGGACAATAGCTGCATAAACTTTGTTCACTTTGAACATTGTTTAATAACATTATTAATACATTAACAAAGTTTCTATAAAGTAAGACACGTTGGTGCTAAAGTACATCTGGAGGAAATCCAAGTCCTTTACAAAACCACATACAAAAATGGCAGTTGTAAGTTAACGTCGACTACAAGTCTAAACATGAAGAGGTAATAAGCATTACATATTAAAAAAAGTATCAAGATATACACATTTTAAACCATTTGTACAAAACCTCTATAAATCTCTCTCTCTCTTATGTACAAAAATAGCTTAATATATACCCCAAAACTGGGTAGGATAGATACAAAAAATTTTTTAAAAAAAAAAAAAAAAAAAAAAAAAAAAAAAAAAAAAGAAGATTGGAAGCATTCTATGATGGAAACGAGAGGGGAAGCTCGGAGCGAGGGGAAGGAGAGGCGCGGGGACGTGGGGGACGGGGCTCCGGGGGCTTCTTTGAGCAGAGCGTAGCTTAATTATTTCCACATCTCCACAAACATCGGGGAACTCACTTTCTTTGCATACCTTATCTGTACACTTGCAAAAGTGGGTAAATAAAAAAGGAGATGCTGTAAAGGGAGAGCGGATGGAGGCATATAACGGTTATTATTTTCATAACTAAACATTAGTTCCACGAGCGGTTAAAACAATGAGTGTTTGTGCTGAAGTAATGAGGGATTTCTTGACCCCACCGTGTCCCGTCCCCCCGTCCCGTTCCTCCCTCCCCTCCTCCCC